GTCGAGAAAGGTTATTCGAATGGGCGTAACTACTCGTAATGTCTTATCAGCTTGTGAGAGGGGGTTATTCATGTGTTTGTTACACTTTATAAATAGAAAGCTATGGAAGATAGAGCATTATTTTCATCATCGGTTAACACACCCCCGCGGTATTCATGGCGAAAACACACGTTTCCCGGCGCGCGCGCTGTACACCAGCAGTACACACTGAGTGACCCCGGTGGCCTGCCCGGCACGTCCGACATAATTGGTTGCTGATAAGATACGCATCTGGGCACAGACGCAGGATAAGAGCTGTGTGGAATTTCTGATTAAATACATTAAAATTTTGTCTCCTCAAGCCACTCCCAGCAGCTCTTGGTCAGAGCGGCTGGCAGCAGCTTGGGCACATTCCTTTACGACAACTTTGATGTCAAATTTGTTTTCAGCAATTGTCGAATATCAGTCTCTTGTACTGGGAGTTCATTTATTAGATGAAAAACTATCAAAACAGGTTCACTTATTTTAATTTATTGACCTAACTAGTGACATATATGTCACTTTTAGATTTCATACCAAAAGAGTGCCCTAGTATTGTGGGTTTACAATCCAAATAAGTATAAATACCATTGAACCTGCTCTAACAACCACCTATCCAAGTCAATCTCTGTCCAAAAAAGCCGCTTCCTACATTCCTCCTTGCATTTTTTCCATGATACTGTCCAGAGATTACCATCTGTCTAAGTTGACTCTTTTCGTCTCGATATTATGGGTGTTGTTGTTTGAGGGACAAGTATTTATACCCATTTGGATTGTATTATTTTAATAGGATCATTTCAGGGTATGAACTGGTTTTTCTGGAAATGTTTTTTTCTCCTTTGTTTATCGCTGACTGGTATCATTAGTTCTCATGCATATTTTCATAAGGCATCGTCTTAATTCTGGAGTAAAGAGAAGATTATACAGCTATTCTATAACTTGTTCACTTTCGTCTGACCGCGTTTTAAAAATTCTAGCTCGTTTAGGAATTTACCTTTGTCCAAAAAACTTTGCCTGGCACTTCTGCAGGCCAGCAACCAAACAAAAATATTTTTTTCCAAAAATCTTGATCCAGTAATAAAAATGTTTTTCTCTTTGGGCCCTATATTAAAGGCCGCTCTTTGAATGCATATAAGCAATCACTAAAATAAATAACTTACTGTAACCTTGCCAACAAATTACTAATTTTGAGACAGCGACACCACCCTGCCCCCACATTTCAATGTAAGCTTGTAGATTTCATTCCCCAGCTGTCTAAACGTCTCCACGAACGCCATATGAGCCTCGAAAATTACTAACTGTCAATTGAATCATGTTTCTTAGGCATACGTTAGAGTGTGGTATTTAGGAAAATATGTCAACTTTTAAATGTTTTAGGTGTATGCTATATAAATCAATCCCCTATTGGTTTTTTTACCCAGTTCAGGCTTGCATCAAAGCAAACGTATCAGGACTTTAGTTTGCGGTGACCTTTATGAATGGGCTTTTAGATTCTGTTGGTCATCCAACTTTTAGACCCGTGTGCAAAGAGCGATTCCTTATTATCCTGTTTTATCCGCGTCCAGAGGAAAGTGTACAAGCTGTAATTAAAATCTTTAAGACACACTTCCTTAAAAGATTGGGGTTTAAATGTTTTTTTCTTTCTAAAAATTACCTGTCAGAACAGTTATCTAAATATCCTCTTTTGTGGCCATAGCTTACACCTCGTATTTAACAGCACTCTTAATCAATTAGTTTGGATCTTTTTTAATTGTAACTTCTTCCTTGTGTCTGTAGTATTTGGAGCTGCTGAAGACCCATCAGAATCGGCCTGCCAACTGCCTGTCTGTCCTGTGGGCTGTTGGGCAGTGTGGGGTGAAGAATTTCAAGTGCGGCCTGAAAGGTCAGTGTTTACGAAGATGGTTTAGTCTTCTTTTTGATTTCAGCTATTGACTTTATTTTACAATGTAATTCCTACCTTAAGTTGGGTAGAGCCTGAAATATATCCTTTCCTTGGTTTCATTTCAAAAGCTTTTTAGTCACCTGATGCGATTTTCGTGAAATCAACATTGAGGCTTTGCCTTTCGTAAGTATCTTCCTAAACATTTTGTGTTGTTAGTGGAATACTTATCCTCAAAGAAATCGTAGTACAGTAGTCTCCGCCTAAGATCTCGGTGCTCGGGAGCAAGGAAAAGCGGTATCTTAGGCGAACCGGGATCTTAACCGACGAACCCAGGGAAGAATCTACGGTGACCCATGTTAAGGCTTACAATCTGTAAAATGGTCTCCCTCCACTCTAAAATGAACTGACGTGACCGCTTGGTGGGTTTATGACGTATGGCGAGCAAAGAGTGGTTAACCTTGATGACTTATCACAGGGCATAGTGGGATGAGGCGTGCCATTTTCACTTATTATCCTATCATGAGGCTCAAGATCTACGCTTATCAAGTTGCCCCTCCCCTCCCCCTTACCTGTCGAAAATTTATAGCTTTCCATCTCCCCCAACCGCCTTTGTCGTTACACACTATTACGTTGTGAACACACCAATTAAAATTCAGTCTGTCTCGCAAATTCGGGAGTAGAAACAACTTCTCCAATGGTCAGGGAAGAGTTCACAGTTCAATGTGATCCCGCCAGGAGCGAACGTGGAGGCCCTACCCACCCAGAGAGTGATGTAAGTTTAGGGGGATAGCTCAGGTGTGAGTGAGATGTTCGGGGAAAACAAACGTGTCGGTCAGTTCACACCCCGGTGTGATCCCGTCTGGGGCAAACATTGTATCGCTTCATCGAGTTTTACAAACGTGTTTGTGATCACATTCACGATAGTAGCTGATCTTTGATGCGACGGACAGTTTATTGATCTCAAATTTTCACTCTTGGTTGATTGGCTGTCCCGCCCGGGTTTTTTTCCGCAAATTATGATCTGAAATGCGGGATCTTAGCCGAATGTAGACCTTCGGAGTGAATCAGAGCGGGATCTTAAGGGTGACTTTTGTATAGTAAAAATTATGTTTTCTTAAAACAGCGGGATCTTAAGCGAACCGGGATCGTAAGCGGTGGGATCTTAGGCGGAGACTACTGTACTGTATTTTTTGTTTTACTTTTAGTCTATACGTTTAACAATTCAAACAAATAAGCCCCATTCACATTTAGCTGTAAACTAAAAGTGTTGGTTTCTATGTGTGGTATAAATATGTTATAATCATGATTTTTCTCAAGTTTTTTTGTGTATTGGGGTACACTGTCTACAGGGGCCCACTGTGGGCTGGAATTAACATTTCATGGATATTTAGTTCTAATTTTTTTTTTAACTCTTTTGTCTTTGGTTTCAGTGTGGCTTGATCTCATGCTGCCAGCCCTGGAGGTACGACAAGTTGCCCATTACCCTGTGGAATTTCTTGAACAGCTGATTGGGTGAGAAACAATCTTGGATTGTTTTTTTAAAAGAGAGGATTGACAAATGCTTGGGTATTATTGTTCCAGTTAATGAACCATACAGCTGTGGTGCTATTCTTCCTGAAATTCCATGAATCTGAGAAATATTTAATACTGTTATTTTTATTTATATCTGAGTGTGTTAAAAAAAAATTCTGTCTCTCAGTACTGTAAGTTCCTAATGTTTTATCACATCTTGGAAGCATAGCCGTAATATTGTCATATCTTCATGTCTGTATGGTCTACTTGAAGTAATTAATACTTGCACCAAAGAGTTATAAATTTTGTCTAAACTTAAATGTTTTGTACTTGCAAATAGTATACAATGAAAATGTGTAACTGTATGGGATAGACATTGCCATTGTCTTGTATTTCAACTTCTTGGAAATGTATCAAGACAAAATTCATTGATTCTCCATTGGAAGAAAGTGACTGTGTGATTCCAGCAGCTTCTGTAACTCAAAATGTAAAAGCATTGTATCACACGAAAATCAACACTCATACACTGCCCCTTTGAATACACGTGTCTCATAGCTTCTCACCATTGTCATTTTTTATGAACGTCTATACTTGCAAGCCTTCTATGGGGATGTTGTTTTTTTATATCCCTATTTCAATTTCAATGCAGCACACACAAGAAAGTTTCGAATGCTTATGGCATCGTGACGCTGAGAGAATACTTCCAAGTGATGGATGTTGTGTTCAGCCCTGCCTTCAACCTTTCCAATGATCTGCGCAAGAGACTCGTGGCTTTGTACCCAAATATCAGGGTATGCCAATTTCCTTTTCGAAAATCATACAATTGAAAGATAGTTTGATCACATTAACTATTCCATCATTACCACTCATCTTTCACTTTTTGTGTTATTAGTAAAGTTGGGTTAGGCTCGCTAAATCAGCGTCCACAAGTAACGAACGGTTCGCTGGAGCTACTCGCAAACGAGCTGACGGGCAACGAGCTGTCCGCTTGTGAAGAGTAGTTCACTACTCGCTACACATCGGACCCACAGACAGTTCGTTGTGGGGAGGGAGAAACTCCATGCATTTGAGTGGGCGGATGGACGGAGAGACTCCTTCCATTGCATACAACTTACAACCCCCTGCCCCACCAAAAAATAATTTACAAATCAACCTCCTGCCCCACAATGTAGTTAGGCGTTCATGGCGGAAATTTCACCCCCCCCCCCAAGTCCTTTGGGGATTCTTTTAACTTCGCCGCTGCGATAAATTGGAAGGTACACTGTGTGACCCGCACAAGACGTGAAAGGTTACACACATAGTACTACATCACCAGCCTTTCTCACTCCCTGTGGCACCGGTATTGGCTTGAAACATTAGACCTAATTGGCCTAACCTCGCCTCATTGGGGACCGGATCCAAGAAACGAACTGACTTGAGGTTTACAGTCTGCTCGCTCTTGTCTGCTAGGTTAGAGTTCATCCGCTCGCTGAGAGAAAAAAATTGTGGAGCGGACCCAAAAAACAAACTGTCTTGAAGCTTGCAGTCCACTTGCATGGCCGTCAGTTACCCGCTCGCTTTGACTGAGTCCGCGAGTTTCGAATCTGTTGGTCCGCTCACCCCAACTCTAATTATTAGTGTCAATTTGATGGAGGAATAACAAAACTTGTGTCAGTATAAGGATCGAAATTAATTCACTAGTATATGGAACTAAAAAAATTGAGTCTGTGATAGACAAGATTCAAAGTATAACACATTGTTTTCAACTGTTTGGTTTTTCTGAATTTCTTCTTTTTCTTCGCAGGAGCTGGCATATGGAGACACTCCTTCTCACAACTTGAGGACTTTTTTCCCCTCCTATCTGGCCCGGCTGAATACTGCCACTAATCAAGCTGTCAAGAATGAGGTGAGAACTCATCATTTACTCTAGGTTGTAACATAGCTTTATATTTACCTCTAAAAAGGCTACACAGTGAAATGAGAGGCCCTCGAGGGAAAGTTGTGTTTCATTATTGGCCGCTTTTCTTTTCTTGAAGTGTAAGGAATTATATATGAGACTTTCATTTTTATATGGTATCTCATAAATACTTGTTACTGTTTTTATTCATGAGATAAATATTCTAATATAACCATTTTGATGAAATGATATTGATATCTTGTTTCTTAAAAAGTTGTTACAATGTTTCTGCTGCACATGATATGCTGATTCTGCAGTATTTTAAAATGCTTGGTCTGTTACTCATGTACGCGTATTATGGTTAAGCATCGCCCCCTTTGTCATGGACATCGTGAACTTACTGAGAACTGACAAAGAATAAAAGAAAAAAACGATTGTAGGAAAGGGGATAAAAAAAGAAATCTGTTCTTCTAATCATTTCTGTATGTCTTTTGTAGATGAGTCTATGGTAACCCATGAGGAGCAAGGTCATTGCATTTGAAATGCCCTGACCTGAAGATTACACTTCCTACTTCAAAATTGTTTTATTCTTTGCAGCTGCTGATGTGTCTAGTGAAATGCCTGACCACTGACCAGCAGTCCTATAGTGTTTGGTGCCAGCTGTACACCAAGCACCTTACTGCCTCAGGGTAGGTCAAGGTCTTCTGAGGTGCCGATTTTCTGGTTAAATCCAGAAATCCAGATTTCCAAAAGTGTCTGAACTGTGTGTGCCTCACTTCAGGCCAATGGTCCTGAAGTTTTTTCAAATTTAATGTGTAACTGAGGTTTTTTTTGTTTTGATATATAGCTGCTTATGCATTTATTTATATTTTTATCTCCTTTAGCTCGTCATAGTACACTTTATATCAAGTTCAATTAAGTCCTTCAAATGCCTGATGTACCTTTCAGTCCTCAATGTTTGACATCTCCCTGAAAACAACTGAGGGGTCATTTGTTTTGACTTCACAATTAGCGCTATAAGTAAGGCCAGATACACTGACATACAAAATACTGACATTAATTTTTAACAGAACTGGTAGATATTTAGAAATTATTAATGAAATATATAGACAGACATTTTTTTGTGGTCACCTTTAAATGCTTTCCTGATGAATTTTTTGTCCGTCGTTGACAAGTTTTTGGATATCAACCCTAATTTTGTTTTTGAATGGTTGATGAAGTATGCATAAGACAGATCTGTATGCTGTAAATATACATAAGTCATATTTGTTTAATTAGAACCATTTTCCTTTGCCAAAGGTTGTAATTCAAGCTGTTTAAAGGCAATGTGATGCTTCACAGACTTCTTTTGGAGTATATCAACAACAACTGGTCAAAGCTGTCTTCCCAGTTTGACAAAAAACTTCTGAGAGAGACGGTCAGATCTTTTTCGGTGACCAATGAGGAAATGGAAACTCAAGGTTGTGGAAGTCGTGATGGTCTTTCCTTGTGTCAGGCAGCTACCAAGGTAAAGGAAATGTAGGCCTACATGCTTCACACTGCTTTTTCCCTGTGATTTGCTGACTTTTTTTAATCTGCTACCAAATTTCATCTTGGCAATATGGGTAACTTACAAACCAGTATCAGGGAGTTATTTTTTTATCTCTCCTTCACCATGATAGCTGCAAGTTATTAGGATTGATACAAGTTAACATTTGTACTTTGAATGCATCCTTTCCTTTTTTTTTTTTTTTTTTTTTTTTGGTTTTTTTTTTGTTTTTTAACTCCTATCAGCCCAACTTCACACTTGACTTTCAGTTCCCCAGGACTAACTTTGCGAGATATGTGTTACCCTATTATGAATAACTCAACCCATAGTAAAGTTATTTATAGGTGTGAAACTTCACCAAACTGTTAAGAATATGTGTGTGTGCCTGGTGAAAGGAACCGTATGACACATTTTGAAGAATCCCGGGGGGGTAGGGGGTTCGTGTACAGAGATCATTTCTGAATAATACGCTTTTTGAATTTGTAAGAAAACTTCAATAGTTTTTTTTAGATATTGGTGATTTTGTAAGGCAGGGTTCTGAAACCAAAGTTTTGAGAAAAAGGCTTTAAAGTTTCTCCTTTGTTTCTGCTTCAAATAGATAGCTCTACACTTCGAGACGACCTGACAACTCATTCGCCACTCACTAACCAACTTTAAAAAGCAGCTAAGATAAAGAACAGCTTCAAAGTGTTTATATTACATCTTCAAGACAAATTCACCACCACCTTGAGCAAAAATTTTCAAGAAATAGATCTTTGTCTGCACAGAGCAGAAATAGGCAGTACAAATTTGTTCTCCAAAATGACGAAAGGGTGTGGATGCGCAAATCTTCGCTTTATTTACATGTTCTAGATATTCATGCGCACTACCCGCCATTAGAGAGGGGAGAGAATGACGTAAATTTTGATATGCAATGTGATAGGGTCGACTTTATGAATGGACAAGAGAAACCATCTATAGTGTTTACTAGGAAAGCCAATTTTCTTACGCATTTTTGGGATTATGCATTATACCTCGTGTTAAACATCTTTAGAAATATATTTTAAAGTTTTAAAATATTTTTCTTAAAAAGTACTTAACAAATCAAATTTTCCTGTTGCATGAATCATAATAGACCTGTGTACAAAATTTCATCCTATTTGGTTCACAAATAATTGAGTAATACGAATTTCTGTGGAAAAAAATTTGCGAAATGAGAAAATCACAAAAAAAACGACCAAAAAAGTCTTATTCACTCACAATTTCTCAATATTTTGTTCCCACGCCATCTAGCGTGGTGTCGATTCTGGAAACACAAAAGGCGGAAAATGAGCTAAACAGCGATACCAAACACCTCGGAGGATGATGCAATGTGTTGTTTGAATTATGACGTTACTTGGTTCAATTTATGAGTTGTTTTTCAACACAACACAAGAGGACAGACCTATACCTACATATTTCTAGGGTAATTTATTTCAGGAAGAGAACTTTTTGTTAGTATAACTGATCAAATGACAACGTGTAGAAATGGTAAACAATCGAAATTCATCAAAATTGAATATTCGATGAAAATTCGATTTTTGACCCGATTTCCCACCCGCATATCCCCTTAATATTGAGAGGCAAGCACCTTACCTTTTACCTTTTGACTAAACGTTCTGTTCCCAGGCACGGCGTCGCCATTTGTTGATGTGTTTCTCAAATGTTCAAACATATGTCCACAGGAGCTTGTGGTCAAGATGACACGCACAAGCTTCCCCTGGGGTCTCTTGGTCTTTTTCTTGGTGTCTGTTGTGGCTTCCATTGTGGTCTATGATATCATGTCCAGCCCAAACCTTCGCTGTGAGTATGTCTTTGTGATTACCCCTTATGGATTCAGATTGTAATTTTAAAAGAAAATGTGTTGGGACCCAAGTGTGCAGTGACCTTCATAAATGGGTTTTTGATTCTGTTGATCATCCAACTTTTAGACATGTATGCAAAGACCTGAGAAGATTAAACCAAGCAGTTTTCTTATATCTTGTTTTAACCATGGTTGGACAAAAAGGACAAACTATTGGTGTTGATTCTGCAACCTTGAAACCAAAAAAAGTAGAAACCACTCGACAGAAGTTACTTTTTATACCTATACTCAGTCTCAATTGAATTTGTATTTGAAGCTCCCTAGTGTTTAGGTTTAACTAATGACAGAAGATACTGGCAAGGCCTCCATGCAATTCCATTCATGATACTATCGATACTAATTTATTGCCAGTCGTTATAGTATTAGTACAATGATTTTGTGGGTTTTTTTCTTTCTTTCAGCTTCAAGAACCATGCGATTCTTAGAGCACTATGGAGTACTGGCCCTTGCAGAGCAGGCATGGGGACGTATACACACCTTCATAACTTTAGCCATAAAGTAAATGTTTTTCTTACTATTTAATGGGTTTTTGGGGTTTTTCCAGTTTTGTGTGTTGTTGAAACTTATAAATTAACCGACATAATAGTGGATTTTGGTGGTATATTGCCTGCAATTACAATTTATGTTACAGTCTGATACTTCTTATTCTCCCTCCTTTGAAAATGTCACGTTAGCAGATCATCACATAAAACTAGTGATTGATCCAACAGTCGCGTCAGTAGTACATTTCTTAGGAATTTGACAAAGTTACAAGAAAAGGCACTATGATATTGCTAAAAATAACAGTTTTTGGTGTATTTTTTTTAAAACGCACTTTTAGACATGACAGTACATCATTACCATGTGTTTATATTTAGTTTTACTCTCTTTTTGCATGACATTATTTTTCTGATCTGTTTATTGTAGCCTTATTTTTCAATAATAATACAGCATTCTCCGCCTAAGATGCTGCTGCTTGGGAGCAAAGAAAATGACATATTTTAGGCAAATGGGATCTTACCCAAAGCACCAAGGGGAGAATCCGTAGTGACTCATGTTTCAGGCCAACAATCTGTAAAAATTATCTCTTCTTACTTTGAAATAAATTGACTGACCCCTGGGTGGGTTTATGACTTATGGCAAGCAAAGAGTGGTCAACTTTGATGAGCAATCACAAGGGCACGAGCATGCCATTTTTCCTGTTAATCGTTAATTTTTAGTATATTCAAATCATCGTATTGATGAATTAACTATATGTGAAGAAAGATCCCATTTGATCATTTGTTTTCATTTTCATCCCGCCAGTTGGCTGAAGGTGAACTGCCCTGTGTACTATGCTTACTTGTGTGAGACAGTAGGCCCCTTCCTGGCTCTGTGTTGGGTGACAGTAAAGGATTTTGTCGTGGAGGCCGAGCTGGCTTCAAGACCTCACCGGGCCTGGGCTGGACAGAAGGCTTGGGACTTTTATCTTTGGGTAAATAAGTTATTGCAAAATTTGTACTGTTAGGCTGAAAATATACTGCCACGCCCAACTGCAGTGCGCCGCAAAAAAAGTCGTGCCCTCCTCTTTATTTCCTATGGGTGATTACACTGACACGATTAGACGTGAATAGTCGTGAGGACCCAAAAAGACGTGCATGAGTGCAGCACTTCTTCTAGTCGTGCGGACAGGCCCGCCCTGCTATCGGAGTGTTCCGCGACGCCGTGGAGATAAAACAAAAGGGGGGGACTGACCACTGAGCTGTTTTTGCCTGCTCAGCGCCATTTTTTAAACACTGTCGGATTCGCGCTGACCAATGGGATCACCACTTCCGAACTAGCTGCTCGTACGTTTCGCGGCGGCAGTATATTTTCAGCCTTATTTCTTCAGCATCTTCCATAAAGTGTTTACCATTGAGATTTCGAAACCAAGGAACTACACTGTGCAAACGAATTGGGAATACATTGTTTTAGTTTTACCTCAAAGGCATGTGTTACATGTTAGGAATGACTTTCAGTTTTCAGATTGTCCTTTTCTATTATGACTTAAGTCACTCTTTTCGTCTTTTTTATTTAAAATAGTTTGGTGTTTTTGTAGGCTGGTCAGTGACCTTGCGTTAGGTTTTGTTACTTTTTCTTCTATTGTGTGAAAAACTATTAAACATTAGGCATCATGGTGAAATCAGGAGCTTGTCAAAATAATGATAAGAAAGAAATCTGAATTTTTCGGCATGATTTGCAGTTTCTATTGATATTTTGTTGTTTGACTCAACACCGTTTATGTCCATTTAAAAACACATGTATGTGTGGTTTGTATTGAAAAATGTTGAGTAAAGGCACAGAAAATATAAATTTGCAGTTTCCAGACTCGACTTGAGCTATGGAAGTCACCAAACTTTGGCGGCCATTTTCTCGTTAATTTTACCTCTGAAACCAAGTGAACCCCCCTCTTTCAATCACAAATATCTCGACTTCTTTTCAGAATAGATGGGTATTTTTTTTCATCGAAAGGCGAATGAAAAAGCATTTAAAATGATACTAGTAACTCCATACGCCCAAAAATTGACAAGCACCTGATTCTGCTGTGTCTTGAGACATATATGGTAATGGAGTGCTTTTTTATGTTTGCTTCGATTTGAGTTTTGTCAGAGATAAAAAATTTTTAAAAATTTTCCATCAATTTGGGGAGGGGGGGTGGGGGGTTGCCTTGCACCCAGTCTGCATAAATCTTGGGTTTTCAACATTTTCTTAAGAAAGCTTTTGTTAAATTACAGGGCAAAAAGTCATTGGTGTGGCTATTTTATGGTTTTTATCAACTTACAATATATACCTCTTTTGGCCAGCCAGTTCTTTCCTGTGTATCATTAGTATCAGTACCTCTTGGGGTGTACTTTGTTGTAACTTGAGCATGTAAAGCTCAATCTGTTGTCATTCACATGTTGACATCTAGCGCGAAATAATATTTTGCTGTTTGATGAAGTGAGAAAAACTGGCTAAAATACCTCTCCTGAAAACATGCCTTATCTATGTAAACTGGAAATTGACCTCACAATCTGTTTTTCAAAATTAAGGAAGCAAGTCTGACATCTTACAGCTAGACAAGGTCGTTCCGGTAGGCTCTTGAAATCCTGGGTGTAAGTGCCTTCTCTGAACCATGATGTACATATTTCTCCCTCGGCAGGTCTATGCGCTATCACCGGAGACGTGGGTCTGGTGTGAAGAAATGTTATGGCTCTCATGGGAAGTACTGAAGGACTACTCGTTCTGGATATGGAAGCACTCATTACATATGGCCGCCGATGCTCACCATTGGCTCACAGAGCATGTTTTTACGTAAGTGTACCAACCAGAACATATCATTTTCTAGACTTGTTGTACCATTGTTTTTTTTGTGTGGTTTTTTTATGTATATAAGTATTTAGATTCAAAGACAAATTGGGGGGGGGGCTCGTGGCCTACAGGTTAAGGTGTTGGCCTCTCATTCAAAGGTCCCGGGTTCGAATCCGGGTAACGACCGAAAAATTTTCTTCTCTAAAATTGTCTCCTTTCACATCCTTTCCTGCTCTCTGGCAATGTTCTGTCATCTGCTTTTACCTGCTCTTTCTGCTCCCACCCCTTCACCTCCTTTGCCCCCTCCTCTGGGCTCCTGACTCTTTCTGCTGCTACTCCTTGGCTCCTTCTTACTGCTGTCTTTCAGCCACACCCTTGATCTTCTGGTAGGAAAGATCTACACCTAGCCTTCTCGGACAAGGGGGGAAAATCTCGGAGGGCTCGTGTACAAGTTGCGCACATTAGAAATCCCTTGTGGTCTAAAATTGATAAGAGTAGGCTTTGGCCGCCGCCCGGGCAAAATTCAGAATTTCCTACCAACTGAAAAAGTCTAGTGTGTCCCACGCGCTCATATGACCTTATGCAGTTGCGAGCGGCGTAAAACACTTACCTAAAAATAACCCCCCAAAAACATGATTGTAATAAACATCAATGTACGCATTTCCTCAGTCTTCACAATGTATAAAAATGGGCAAAAAATGACAACTTGAAAAAAAAACATCACTTATAATATTTCTGATAGATACACTTTACATTCATTAAACAGCAAGAACTTTTGAGTTGATCTTGGCCTTTGGAAAATATACCAGAAAATCAATTTGAATACTTTAAAAGGGTCTTGATTATATCAAAATCAATGTCATACAAGAGCCGTACTTATGCTTTAAAAATGTATGGGACATCGAGATTTTACAATTTCGTATTGGCTCTTTAACAAATTTTTAAATACGTTCATCCGATGAGTTCATCACATTTAGCTCCTGGAGATTTTCCCTTGTGCATGCCTCGAAATCCTAGAAAGAAAAGATAATCCTCTGAAAATATAATTTTTCTCTTAAAATAAATATCGCTAGCTGCCAAGAGACAAATTTTTCAGGAGAAGCAAAAAACTGTTTTATTTCTGTATGCTCGTACCTATGAACCTGAAATTCATATATAAATGACGAAATATGATGTAGGAGGATGGTCTGTAACTAATTTTAAAAAGAAAAAGCTTTCTGACATAAGTTACTGGACATAGGCGGTTTAGACCTACCAAAATCTACGTGATTCAACCACCTAAGAGACAGTATGACAGCGACCAGGCGTTTGAATCACGTTAATCAGCGCCATTCCATGAGCGCCAATGGTCGCTTGGGTGTTTGAGTTACAGACAAAAGCAAATCATAATAAGATTAAGAGTAATTATAAAGATAAGAGTAATTATTTCAGTTATTTGGTTGGGTCTTCTGGGGCAGGACTGTTTCTTTGGCTTCACAGAGTTAGTAAAAAAGACCATTCGTCTTAACATTCAATTTGCACTGGATGTTTTTGTTCGGTGTGTATCATAGGCAACGAACGTTTGTGACAACGGGGTCGTTTTTGTTTCAGCCCGGTCTGAATGGTCCAGAAATTGAACATCAAAAGGGGAAGAGGGGGGGGAGATTGTCTTGCTTTCTTAAAAATGTTCAAGATTATCCATGAGCACATAGACCTTACCATTTATCAGAGACCTTTCGATTACACTGGATGTGCTGTCCACTTCCATTGCGTTTGTTCCTTTTCAATAATTTTGCTCTCTCAGGTACGAATGTTACTGATTGCATTTGGCAAGGTAGCATTGTGGTCTGATAAATACAGCCATCTCTGTATATAATGAATGTGGATTTTATTGTCAGTAGGCTCCTCCAGGAAGTTACTGACACAAGAAGAGATTTCACTGTTAATCAATGGTCCATCTCCCTGGTGCCAAATGTGGCACTTCACATCTCTGGTTTCCAAATTTTAAAAAACCTACATAGCTAATTGGATCCTGTTTGTTAACTGTTATATTATAGTGCAGCAGATGCGTTCAACACCATACTAACTATAAATCCGCTTCCAAGTCCATACACATTAGACATAATCTGGTCCCATCCACTGGGTTTTGTGGAAGCGTCATGTTAGATTCTTTCTCCTACCCTGCATACATCACATTGATCCCTCCGACATACATACAACAACAGGTTGCTCTTTTTTAATATCTCTCTAAAGTCATCTGAGACAATGTGTGACTCTTTCCGTTTTCTTTGATACTCTCTAAAGGCCTCTGAGGCTTTGAAAGTGATAGTCAAGCTAGATTTTGCCTGTATTCTGTCTGTCTTAATAGGAAAAGGTGTGTCGAAGAATTACTTATCACAAAATTGCTTGTCCTTTTCTGCTCTCTGGTAATATCATGGAGCTCCCATCTCCAAGTCATGTAAACTGTCTTTGGAACAGTCATGAATAACCACTGTATGAGGGCAGTTGTATTGTTTTGCATATAGGTAGAATGTATGAGATTTGTTTCAAATTGAAGTGTAGAGCTGGAGAGTTTGAGTTGAAGGTTTGTTGAAGAGATAATTTTTGGGGCGAACATTTTTATGAGTTGCTTTTCTCTTTTTTTCGAGTGAAAAATTAAGTATCATCTACCCGGTACTGATTAACTATTCAATGATTCAAGAATGGTACATGACAGACACAGCAAGAGGCGCACACTTAAAGTAAATTAAGGAACATGAAAAGTCGTGATAAAAATATTTTCCAATAGTTATTCCGAATGTGAAATAAGCGCCCCTTAGTTGTCAATCATAAACTTTTTTTTTTTTAATTCATTCGTCTGTACCTTTTGCCACAATTTACAGACTTGATCAAGTCAGTATAAACATATTCGTTGATGCCATCTTGCCCTTTCTCCTCTACACTACCAAACCTAGTGATAGATTACGCAAACTGCTTTGAAAAATCATCTGGCTATCGATAGGGTTCGATCGGAGTCGAAGGTAGCAAAGGTTGTTTTGATGTTACCCTCACTCTGTTTTGACAAAAGCCACAGTCGTGTGGATCACGCCGCCTATGTGATTGGTAAACACCTCAACAAGCCACTGAATCTGCTTGATTCAACCGCCCATCCACCACCAGGCTGCAAAACTGGCACTTTGGCGGTTGAATCACGTGGAAATTGGGGACTGGTGTGATATAGGCAATTGATTTACTAAAGGATTGAAACACTTTGCAGTAATCTTTCAGACTCGGGATTTTAACATAAGGTGTATTAAAGGCTGTACTACATAAAAGAATCAAAAAGTGATTTTCGAAAATTTTATTACTTAGGCAGGCGATTGAATCACGCGGCTAGCGCTATGAAAATTTTGTGTTGGGTACCCATGATATGGGCTCACTGATTTACTCAATATTTTTCTTTCATTGCAGAGGGGCACTTTCCAAAGAATCTGTTCAAGCCGCTCTGATGTGGAGTCTTTCTGAAGCACAAAGTTATATGTCTACTTTGTGGGCATGGTGTGACAAAAATGTTCTTTATGTTGTCAAATAATTCAGTACATGTGACCGAGAGCATTGCATGCACCGAGAACTTTGTTTTTTTGTTTGTTGCTTTCCAATGTCCAATTGTATTACTTAATGTTTTACCTGGTCAAAAAGCATTACTCTCAACTCTCATATATATTTAGTTTGGGTGGGGTTTTGATGTTGTTTTGCCTGATCATCACAGTTTTGTTTCTGTGAATCTTTTGTCAACTGTTTTGTTCTGTTCACATCTTTGTGCAATGTGAATATTAAACTTTACATGATGTAAAGAAGATTTATGCGCACAATGGTTTAGAAAATGTACTAGTCTACCCATTGCAATGGAAGCTTGAACTTGAACTAGTATGAGAGACCTCTTTGGATTTAATATAATATCAACAGATTATTTGCTGATCAAGTGTTGGTTGATTTCTTTCTTGTGATATGAATAAAAGTGGGAGCAGGGAAAATAGTCCTGCATAAATGGTTATCACTGCTAGTAACTTTGAAACAAAGTGTTCAGTGTCATTACTGAAGCTCATGCTTTGGTATATAAGACCCCAGTTGACACTTGTTGCAAAGAGAGCATCTATGAAGCTGTCACTTCTAACATATGATGCTTACAATACTTTCGTACTGGAGAGTGGTGTTTTTTTACAGGCAAAGTTAACAAACGCCTTAATAATAGCCTGCTGGTAAGGGCCTTGTTCTAGTTCTAGCGTGAACATAATTCACCTTTTACCTCTTGCACTGTATGGTTACCCTGCCTACAATAGAACACGCTGGGTGTTTGTAGGATCCACAGTATTTAACACTTTTAAATAACGTACTTGTTCAGGCTTTCTTGTGGTTCTCTTCAAACTTATAAAGATAGACTTCAGTTAACTTTTAATTAGATGTTTCTCATTTTGATTTACATCAAATAACAGAGATGTACATCATTTTGTTTCCATGTTTCTCTTTTACACAATGATGGAGATTTAGAATCAGTAGCATCAACATACAGTGGAGTCCACTTAAATCAAACACTATTAATCCATAACAATGGTAAACCAAAAGAAATTAAAATCCCCCATTTTTTTTCTCTATACCTGAGCAGCCTCCCAAAACCAAAAACCTGGCCAAACTTCAGAAAGTCCAGGGGTCCCACAGATTTTGTTATAAGCAGACTCGACTGTTATTGCCTTCAGCTGTGCAATTTCCATGTCATTGGCAATACCTCATTTTACGAGTTCACAAAAGCTTCCTCCATACCAATGCGGCTATCCATGCAATGCAACTGCAAGGAAAGTAAGAATAAGAGTATCCTTTGAAGATGAGAGAGGTGGTGACTGTTCTTATGTTCCTGTGTTGGTCTTACTTTCCCATGCTGCAGTTTACAAATCTTATGAGTCCGTCTGCAGCTGTGTGAATGTGAAATTCTAGTTCTCAGGGCCAGTACAATAAAGTCAGTAGTTGTCAAAAATGTGTGTGTGCATATATATGTGTGTGTGTGTCACTACGCGGTGGAATCAGGCGCTTGTCAATTTTTGGGCATGTGGAGTTATTAGTATCATCTGAAAGCTGATTTATTTGCCTTGCTTCCGATGAAAGAAATATCCATTTATCTTGAATAGAACTCAAAATATTTGCGATTGAAGGAAGTGAGGTCGCTTAGTTTCAGTGGTGAAATTACCAAGAAAATGGCTGCAAAGTTTGGTAACTCCAATACCTAAAGAGTCCTTGGAGGCTGAAAAATGACATATTGTATGCCTTTAATCAATGTTTTTCTGTAAAATTCACATGGAATGTGTTTTTATATATGGACATAAAAGAGGTTAAGCCAAAAAATAGAAATTTCCAAACTGGTGGGAAAATGCTTATTTCTCCGATTGCGTTATTTTGACAAGCGCCTGATTTCCCCACGCTGCCTGACATATATCTCGTTTGGCCATTTTTACCTACTATGATTAATTTGGGGTACGGTCAAATGCATATCAGTATGTCAGAAAAATTTAAAACAAAAGCATATTCTGTTTTAGAAATTAATAAACTTGCTCCATTGCATTGAAAAAAGGGCTCAAATTTGCATCTTCATCGCTTTTGGAATAAACACTGAAACATCTGCAGTTATGTGTGTATCGAAAATTTCAACAAATAAATTATTTTTCTCTATGTACAGATACACTTGGTCCTTCCTGTATTTTTAGCTCATGCTCCATATCATTTGCCTTACTGAAGACAATCTAAATTAATTATGCTCTACTGACCTTTCAGATTGTCAGTATTACAAACAAATCCGCCCCAGCCCTGCTGTACGTAATCTCCTGGACAAGAAGTAGAAGCTTTTGTTTTATATTTCTACTCTTGGACAAAGGTTTGAGGATTATTTTCTTGAGAAAAAATGAGTATGAGAATGCCATAGTGGAAGTGAGAAGGTTGCAAGTCCTGTCAACTCAGTTTTGATACATTTTCTCTTAGGGATTGAGCTTTTTATCTTTACTTTAGTGCATACAGCCTTTTACGGCTGTAAGCTCACTAATGTACTGGCTAAGGATATAACACGTTTTGAAAGGAAAGTGTTATGTCGGGCACAGGTAAATATGAGCATGGAAAACTCAAAATCACAGATAGCTCATACAATTGAATGTGCTGTACCCTGACTGAACTGCTACGTTTTCTTTGCATTGGCAACATTTTTCTCAAATACTCGTACGGTACAGATATATCGAACTAATTGTCTCAAAAAAACAGATCAAATTGTTCCAAATTCAAATCATCCTGCAAGCACGAAGCAAAACAACTGACAACACACCTACTGTCATTGAGAGTATCAGTCACATGAGCTCACCAGATTCACCTCGTATAGCATGTATACATATTTGGTATTCAGACGCATCATGGCTTATAACCTGCAGTGTGTGTAAAGCTTAGACCTTCCTTCAGGGATTAAGTCTACTCATGTGAGGGTGAGTGTCGGGGGAAAGGTATGATCAAAGACAGACAGTGTAGCCTTGCTTTGGGCCATACAGTATGTGAATTATGTTGCATTTGTGTGCATGTAGGGCCTATACAGTGAAACACTGATTTAAAGAACAAGCTCGGGCAGTAAAAATAGTTCTTTATATCAGTCGTTCTTTATTTTAGTCAACTCCCATGCACAAACATACTTTTTCTGTGGGTGGTTGGCGGGTGCTCTGGTGTGGTTTGCTTCTTCTTTCCTATCAAACATCTATCGTCCTTATCTCCCCTCCTTCTTTTTTATGTTTGTTACTCTCTTGTAACACCTATAATCTTCTGGCGCTCATATGACCTTATGCAGTTGCGAGCGCCGTAAAACCTCTACTAAAACAAACATACTTTTTCTCACATTGTCCTTTTCGGTCATAGTAATAGGAATAGTATGGTACACGTACAGTAACTTATTTCTTCCCGAGAGAAGGATAAAGGAAGCTATGGATGTTTGCTGCTTCTCCCTTTCTCCTACAATGTAATCCATAACAAACTTTTGCATATCCCCAAGAACATTAAAAAATTGCTCCCCCCCCCCCCCCCAAATTGACTACGAAATAGTTTCTCAATTTCTCCATACTTTGTTTTGCCTCCACGGAGCTCACTGTTACAGTTATATTATCTGCTCATGGTCTTCTCTGTTTGAGAAGCAGAAGCTTCCTTCACTTGCTCTACAATTTCAGCATCAGAATATTCAGAAAGTACTGCTGATATTTGCACACTAGTGTCAATGGTCAATGTCTGTGTAGGCAGACTCACGTGGCAGTTGGGCAACTCTTGGTTTGGTCAACTCACAGAGATGGGCTGTTTCGTTACTTCAGTCGTAAATAAGAAAGACAAAAGACTCATCCAAGAAAATGGTTCGTTACAGCCGTCAGTTTGTTATCGTATGATGGCGAAATGTGTCAAAATATATAAATTATAAATTACACAAAGAGAGAAAAAAGCGGAGCAAAGAAATGTGTTCTTTATTTACTTGAGTTTTTTCTAGGTGTGCTCTACTGTACGTGTTTTTTTTTTTTACATGAAGGTAGGCCCTATAGATGAAAGTTTGGGTAGAGGTAGTTGGCGGGTGCTCTGGTGTGGTTTACTCCTTCTTTCCTATCAAATATTTTGGCGTCCTCATCTCTCCTCCTTTTTTGCGTTTGTTACTCTCTTGTAACAGCTCTATCTTCGGCACTTATATGATCTTATTGTGTAGCAAGTGCCATAAAACTCTTACTAAAATAAAAACTAGATATATATTATATATATATGTGTGTGTCCAATCGACCTCTCTTGACCCTTACAGTGCACACTAAGAAGACACATCATGTCTTAGGCGTGTGTCAACAATGTACGGGAAGGAAGGCTTCTGATCGAACACATGAGATGTATGCTAAACGTGTAATGATCCATGGTGCAAGTGCGATAGATGGTCCCTTCCTGGAATAATAGAGTAGTTCTGAGTAGATAAGGTTCATTGCGACTTCGTTGAATCCGAGTTAGCTCATTGGTGTGTTCGTTGAATCCATGTTATTTTGTTGATGAATGTTAATGAAGTTAAAAAACAGGGAATCTGTCTCCTTTAGTTGAAGTTTTCGTTGAATCCCTGTTTGTTGAATCCGAGTTCAACTGTAGATTATTTGCCACAATTTACATAAATGTAGGACTAGTTTTGAATAGACCCACAAGTATCTGGTTAGTTCCACAGACCTGCCCACAACCCATTACACAGTCACAGATGGATGTCCAATACTGTTTGTTAATTAGCAAGACAAAAAAATATGTGACCGCACTTCTGCGGACATCCACACCAAGCAAACTTAAGCTCCCTCCTTATGCACACACACACAGACACCCCCAACCTACAACATATGGTCGCTTTTAAGCACAAGGGGGCTATCCCGATAAATGCTGTTTTGAGAAAATCGAAGTTAAAGTTAAAGTTCTTGTATCCTTATTCAGTCTCTTTAAAAGGCAAGGAGAGTTTTCTCTATAACCAAACAAATAAAAACACCAATGAAACCAAACTTCTCCTATAACCATAAGTAGGGCAATGCCCACTTCTGGTGTAGGTCAAAATTTCTGGAAACCCCCAAAATGTGGGTTAGCCCGCTTGCCCTTAAAACGACCATATGCAGTACATGTGTTGGCTGCCCATCCTTCCTCTCCGACCCCTGGCACACAGCCAGAAAAACATTTGTCTTGCTCACATGTCTTTAACATGTGTTGGTGTGAGGGGGAAAGAAGGCTTCTGATTGGTCTCATAAGATGGCTGTGTGACTCTGACTGACAGAACAACCAGAGTGTAAAATGTAATATGAATAGTGTGTTGTGGTGCAGGGCAATTGAAAGTTTTTTAAAATGAATAGAGAGAAGAAAATTAATAAGCTTCTTTGCTGGAAAAAATGTGCAAAGCCTAATAAGCAGAGGCTATTCATTCTGCAAGAAAATTCCCTGAGTCCAAGGTTTCATGTTTAAGTATTCGTTGAATACCTGTTATTTTACTGATCCTCTTTTCGTTGCGTTCGAGTTCATTGGATGTGAGTTTCACTGTGTAGTAAAAACGCACAAAACAGCAAAAGGAATTCATACAATACAATACTAATAATTCAGACGCCTTTTAAAACTTCACAATAAGACTGTGATTGGGACATTCTTACCACAGCACACTCCTACATCAGAAATGAGAATAAGACAAATTGATATTCCAGTGATACTTTTAATGACTGTGATAGACATTTGCATGAATGCATAACGACTTGCAGATAAAAACTGAGCTCTATTCCTCCACTGAGACTACTGAGAACAATTGAATATTGTGACAAAGCTTATTAGTGTTCATTCATAACGGATTAACGACAAACTCGACAAAACTATTGTTTTTCAAAATAGTACAGACTAAATAGAAATGCTGACTGAAAGCTGTAGCCTACTTTCCCAATTCCACCAGCAAGTGTTCGTTACTGGTGTCTGTGGTGTACCCCGAGTTCAATAGCTGAATGAGGAGCATTTTTAATCAACTATCTAATCTCGGTCTTTCTGCTGGGATGCCGGCCCTCTCTGTATGGTTAAGCTATGAAACTGATAGGCAGGGTCAGATGTCCGCCTCTTAAATTATCTAAATTGTGTCGATGGGACGTAAAAATGCCTTTTTTTTTTTTAAAGCGTTCATTGACCATTCCATCGGGAGAAAAATCTTGCCAAGTAGATATTTATCACGGTTTCAAAGTGACTATTAAAAGAGCTCCCACGGTTTTAGCAAATATTGAAATAAAAAAATGATAATAAGACTGCATAAACAGCACATAAATTAAATGCATTTGTATAAATATGCAACTATTTTATGCTCACTCAAAAGTAGGCTCTATGCACTTTACAATTTGATGTTGCCAAACAAGCCTATTCTGACAACAGTGACAAGGCCTTTTATCATATGGTCTTTGTCAAAAAGCATTTCCACTTAGGTGAAAAGAAAAGAATTAGTATAAAGTCTAATTTCCATAGACATCTTGTTTAGTTTTAGTAAGAGTTTTACAGCACTTGTAACACAATAAGGTCATAAGTGTCAAAGAATAGATGTGGTTACAAGAGAGTAACATACCTAAAAAGGAGAGATAAGGATGATAATGATAGATATATTTGATACGAAAGAAGGAGCAAACCACACCAGAGCACCCACCAACCACCCACGGACATCTTGAGTCTGGACCAGGATCCATTCCGAGCCCAGACCTTACCTTACGGGCAGTCTGGCAGTTTTCCCACTACACAACTGACGCCACTTAATTCACACGGAAAGCATAAAAGTGTGTCACATAAAGCCGAGTTTTGTTAAACAATGTGATTGGTTTGATATCAAAGATGCAGCATACTCTCAGATGACATGTTTGTCAGGTAAGATATATGTATACACCCAAACTACCAATGATCAAGAGCTCACAAGTTTCACACAGTTATAATAATGCTCACTGATGAATATTTGTGTCTCTGTCTCATGTATGTGATTGTTGTTATATTTCTAAAAGTTTTCTCGCTATATATATATATATATATATCTATGTCAGCATTCTCGTTGAAGCCAGGTTTTTACAAGTGAAACCAGAATTAGAATGTGTGTTTACCAATGGATTTGCTTTGAAAATGGGTCTCTTTGCCTCTGTGGTGTACATAAGCCAGGGGTGACTATACTATCATACATAATTTTTTCAGTAACTCGATTTGTTCTTGTCCAAACACCTTTTAAATCGTCTGCCACATAATTTTACATACAGGGATGTTTTATTTCAATCTTTAAAAAAAACTTTATTGGAAGAAACTTAAAACTTGAGTCAGGTGGTCATTTAGATGCCCTACTTTTTGGCAATTAATTAATCACATAAAATTGTTTTTACCCAACCAGCTTGCTGTTAAAAATGCTATTGATAAACTGAACATTGACGAAAATGTGGTCATGTATTGTTATAGTTATACATGACAGATGTCACTTACTCTACAGCAACATAACTTAAGGAATCATTACCAGGATATGTTTTTAAAAATGTTGAACTTATCTCCATCTTTCTCCTTTGTTCAATTATAATTTAAAAAACCAAATGAAAATTTCTAAGTATAAAATGAAAGCTCAAAGTCAAACATTTTAAACCATTACAGACATTCTCTTTGCCCTAAACGAAAGAGGTAAAAATTGAACTTGACACATCATGAAGAGCATAAACGAGGAATATGGCCTAATGTACTACAATCATGCATGTTAAAAAAAATTAAAAAGTTAAATCAGAGACAAAAATTTCAATCCCATAATTAATTCCCCCAAAAATTGGCAGCAGCATTTCTTTTTACAAATACTTCAAGAGCCAGTGCAAAAAGGCAGGTTAAGACGTGCTTTTAGCCTCGCCACCGAAGAACAGTTTCATGGTGTTGTCGTACATAGCATCAGCCAGCTGCTGTGGGTCTTCGTCTCTTGCTGCACTCATCACCTCCAACACTTGACTGCCAAAGAGAAATATCATATGCATAAAAAAATAATTTGTAATATTAATAATATAATGTTTGTAAAATCATTTCTGAAAGTTACATTACTTTCAAGTTCATTTAGTTGTCCCTTTACAAAAAGACCAATCCTTTGACTTCTCTACAGAGGTAAAGAAACTGTGTGACAATGCCTTTTATAAATTTATACATAAGGCAATGTATCCAAGGCTGCAGAAAAAGGTACTTTACAGAGCAAGTCATACAAATGAGTCACAATGCGGTGGAATCAGGCGCTCATCAATTTTTAGGCATGTTGAGTTTTATTGGTTTCATCTCAAAGCTTTTCATGCGGCTTGCTTTCAATGAAAAAATTACCCATCTATCTCGAATAGAAGTCGAGATAATTAGCAATTAACCTCTTTGCTGCTGAGCCTGTAGAATTTACCGGCCTGAACCGGGTAGCACTGTGCCTATGGCCCGTAGGATTTACGGGGCTGTGACAGAGCTCGTTTTGATACAAATTATAAGGGAAGTTACTGCTAAAATTTTGTAATTATTATTGAGGTACCTTACCTTTACGTTTACCTCCACCCCACCCCTCCATTTGAAAGCATCAGATTCAGATTTTAGCTCGAAGAGAGGAAAGATCTTGATATACACATCTACTATCTACCACACAAAAATGATTTACTGGCAGTAAACACAGAAGGGTTTACAAGTAAATATATGTATTGTACGAGCATTGTATAAAGTAGGAAAAGCCTCTTGTCACTTCCCCTTTACCTGCAAACACTCACACAAGATGTATTCTCCTTTTTTTGGTCTCAGTTAATCATTACTCGAATGAGTGTTGTTTATGTTGTTTGGTGGTGTTGTTTTTGGCTTCATGTTACTAGCTTCAACTTTTCTCCATCTGTCTCTAAATGAAATCCCCCCAAAATTATATAAATAGAAATGTGGTTCAATGTAGAATGTACGAGCAGAAATTCATGACGAAATATTCATAAATATAAAACTTATGGGAGGTACAGTGGGGTCACCCCAGAGCAGCCTTGGTTCATGGGATTTCCCCCAGCACAGGGGCCAATTTACCTGCGGCATTGAAGGGGTTAAAGGAGTTGGGGGTTGCCTGGTTTCAGACGTAAAATTAGCGAGAAAAAGGTCGTCAAAGTTTGGTGACTTCCAAAGCTTGAGAGCCCTTGGAACTGCAAATTTAGATATTTTAGTGCCATTGATCAATGTTTTTAGTCAAATCCACGTATAAATGTGTTCTTAAATGGACATAAAAGGTGTTAAGACAAAAAAGAAAAAAAAAATTTTCATTGTTCGACGGCAATAAAAATGCAGATTTCTTTGATTTCATTATTTTGACAAGCGCCTGGTTCCACCCCGTTGCCTCACAAATGTTGAAATTGCATCTCATCTTATAATTTTAAAAAATCATGTAAAAAGATAAATAACCTGACAATACCAAGTAGGATTTTTTCTTTCCTATTCCATAATACGTTAACAAAAGCAATGAAAACATTACAATACCTGAAGATCACCTGATCAAAAGCAACCTGTACTGTAATTACAGGCAAAAAAGAAAACTTACATGATGGTGCACGGTTCATTCCTTGACTTGACCATGTATCTTGGATCAAACTTCTCTTTCCGTTTCGACTCAAAATGTGTCTTTATTGACTTGTATCCTGCATGTGTGGACCGAATTTCACAGTAGGGGCAATCTGGACAAAGAAAAAAAATAATGTTCACCACACACAACCAGTTGGTGCGATATGGTCAAAGTTAACCAAATCTGCAAAGGCATTATGTAGGCCTACTCAAAACCAGCCTTTTCCCGGCAGGCCAGAGAGAAAGATGCCATTTTGCAAACAATTTTACAAATAAGTTACAAAAGTTTCTATTCACTGCATGGAAAAACAAAATACTTCGCCAGAAATATTGTCTTTTTGTTCTTTTTTTAATACCAGTGACACAAGTACTGTCAAGATATTTAAACTCCTTCACCTGTTTCAGTTGTTTACTACTGACATGGATGTTCAGGGGGCTACTGTTCTGGCTCACTTTCATAACTTTTGTTTTTGATGTGCTTATTTTCATGTTAAATTTTTCGAAGCTGTTCAGTTCGCTTGAGTGATTTTGGAGGCTTTGTTGGTTTGGGTGAATAAGACATTGGTCTTCTGCGAACAGAAGTTCATTTAGGCTTTCTGGGCTTTGGTTTGCGTCTTGCGTTATTGTGTCCATATATATTATAAACAGGAGGGGAGATAGAACGCATCCCTGTCGTACTCCAGATCTTATTTTGCACCAGTCTGTATTGCCTTCCTTCATTCTTACAGAGCTTTTGCTGTTGGAGTATTGTATAAGGTAAGAAAAGCCTCTTGTGACTTCTTCTTTACCTGCAAACACTCACACAACACTATTCCCCCTTTTTTGGTCTCAGTTTATCATTACTCGAATGTGCGTCGTTTATGTTGTTTGATGGTGTTGTTTTTGGTATCATGTTACTAACTCCAAATTTTCTCCTTCTATCTCTCAATGAAAATCCCCGATAATTTGGGATTCAAAATGCTTAGACTAAAAAAGTTTACAGACTTCAATGATTTATTTCAAGCCACATTCCAAAGAAAACTGGTTTTTATTCCATAATAATATTTTTTTAAATACTACAATGGAGTCCACTTAAATCGAAATCTGCAGGACCACAGGATCTTCTTCTGTTTAGCCAGGTTTTAGATTTAAAGATGTTGCTCAAATAGACATTAACAACTCACGGCATCCCCCTGACCCAAGCTCTCCGGCTGGTGGCAGAGAGACGTCACTTTCTTCCCACGACACCCAGAAGGGTATACGCGACGGATAAAAGTAAAGTAAAGTAAGTAAGCTCAAATAGAAGAAAAAAATTCAGGGATTTTATTTTCTTTCAGTTTACCTGTGTTTTTTGGATAAATCGAGTTCAGTTTAAGCGGACTTCACTGTGCACTATAAGAACTTCCACAGTGCCCAAGTACAGAGTTGGGCAAAGTATTGTCATATCTCAGACAATGTATCCCAGACACCATGATTTTTATTTTGTGGTTCCTCATCGGTGTGGGCAAAAACTTAACAAGATTAGAGATGTTGCTTATAGTTTTGTACCCTCTCCCCTAGATAGCTCACACGACACCACAACTACAAACATAAAACACATTGTATTGAAAAGTCCCCTTCTGTGTCATACCTGTCTCTATCATGAGTTTATCAGTTGGTATTGAACACATGACGTCAATGTTGTCTTGAGTCTTCATAGAGCTGAAAACATAAGAGAAGCAGGCAAGTTAGATACACAGTGAGCATCCCATTACCCTTATATCAAAGTCTATGCTTCCAAGGCATTCATTAAACTTAAACGAGGATAGACATGATTTTTCTCTTGGAATTTGGCAGAAATCAAATACATGTAACATGCGCATTGTCTTACATAGCCAGAACAGTGTACTTTTCTAGCGATACACAGACACTCTTAAGGCCAGCTCTGCGAGGGCCCCCACCAAAGGATTCCTCTTCTCTGTGCAGCACAAAAGTAGTGCTGGGTAAACAACACAACTCTCTCATTAGCTGATCACATAATGTTTGCAACCACTACAGTTACATCTATTCATGTGATGAGGCAGATTCGTCCTACAGGCTTTTCAAAGCATGATTCCAGAAATATTGTTAAGTAATTTTAAGTTTAAAAAAAAAAAAACCACCAGAAAAAAAAATTTGCACTCATTGGCTTCAAAAGCATGATAGAACCTATGACGGCTGACTGAAGTTTCTGTGCCATTCAATACTTCAGGTTCGAGTGAGATACTTAACTGTTTCATTTGTAACATGTCATAAAGGAAGGCTCCAGATAACCCAGATTAAGTAAAGATAATGGTAGCGTGAGGGTGTGGTGCCAGAGCCGGTAGGGCGCTGGTCTCCGAACGGAAAGTCCGGGTTCGAGCCTCGGTTCGGACACGCATTTTTTCGCCCCCTCCTTCCGACCCAGCAGTAATGGGTACCTGACTTTGAGTCGGGGAAGTAAAGGCGGCGTGGAAAGGAACTGGCCACCCTACCACAATATGCCGAAGGCCCAGGAAGTTGTCTCACTAACAATGCAATCCCCAATGTCCGAATCGGAAGCGGGAACAACTTTACTCTTAATGATAGCGTATACTAATCATCAGTGACAAGCAATGCTTTCAGGTGTTTTGTTATTGTTTCCTTTCATGAATCACAAATTAAACCCTACAATCTAAAGATGAAGACAAGCTGCGATTTATAGAATGAAAGAAAACTGGTCTGTATTGCTTACCATCCATTGATGCCGACATAGAACCCAAGATCAATCATACGAGCAGCTTCTTCCTTTGTGCCAGTGAAAGAGTGGACCTGATTGGAAGTGAAAGTACAAATATGCCTGTTCATTGCGTGAGCAAAATAAAGACCCAGCCAGTTTTATAATAATCTTCACCCTTTTCAAACAATCAATAAGTACACAAACATTTTAACCCTATCCATACGCCCCGCGGTCATTTTGTACCCCCAGGTTGTATTCTTCACATTTTAGAATACTTCTAGTACGAAGATCTCTTTAAAACTTTCAGTATATCTCAAAAAATCATTTTGACAGACTGCTACGCAAAGCGTACGGATCGGATTAACAAGTAAATTTCCTCTTCGGAAAGTGGGGGCACAGAGTTCTCCAAGTCATATGGATACGATAGTAAAACACGACGTACGGATTGGGTTAATTCATTCACAAGACCTTTTCACAGGAGTGACGCACCTAGTGAATGCAAATTAGGGTTTAAGCGTAATTTGAAGGAGTTACTTGGTGTGCCTTTCCATGCCGCATGTGTTATAAAAGTTTTTACCTTGGTAATTAAAAACATCAGACTAGCCTTGCCTTGGTACCACATGCACACTTTTCCCCTCTGTGTACATAGAACAATATTCTCAGGGTGAGCCATCATTATCCCAGTAGGTATCATGCTTGATAGTGGGGTACCTAACCCAAATTCAAATCCCCACCAGTATATGCTTAAATTTGGGCTGTTTGCAGAGGTTCCATGACTCACCATCCATGTGACTAGGTCTCATCAAATCAAAGATGAATATCAAAATCTATTACCATACTAATATATATAAAGAATAATGTTATCTTCTTTTTCTTCATCACGATAGCATCACACTTGAAGTGCAGTATCAATCACATACTGGGCCATCTCACTCAGTAACATTAAAATTGATTGTATAATATCGCCACACATTTTTCAGACCTCAAAATAAAAACAAAGGTAGCATTCTATATTTCCTAGAGCAGAATTTTTATGATTTTGAGCTTTAAAAGAATTTAGCAAATTGTAGATTTTGATCGCTATGTATTGTTATGAAATACTCCAGAATTGAGCCATTGCTTTCCAATTCCAGTTTTAAAATATAATATGAGCCTCCGTTCATCATTTTTTGTTCAAAGCTGCACGGCTAAACGCAAGTCAAGTGTATGTCAGTGAAACAGCGTTTCGAGGGGGTGGTCCCTGGAGTTTGCCCTTGAGCAACAAATGCTAACCGTAGCTCAGTACACAGGGCCCTGCACAGTGGGCAACCAACAATGGTGTGTGGGTTGTCTGAGTTTGTGATATGTATGTCTTTGTGTTGTGTAATAATGTACACCATTGTAAAGCAAATTTCCCAAAAGGATCGAAGTTTTGTAGGAGAAAATAGAACTTTACAACACAACCCCAATTCATTTCAAAAGGTTAAAAAAAAATTCACCCGCAGAGCCAGAAGTCAGGGGCAAGTAACTTTGGATTTTTAATGTAACTGATGAGTTTCTTCATAGATTTCAGCCCTATGGACGTAAATTTGTCAAATTTATAGTTTGGGTTTGTTCAACTTATTTGTATGAAATGATAGCTGGAAAAGACATGTTGAGCTTTTAAAAAAATGGCATTAGTCGAAAAATCTACAAATTTGACCCATGAGTCGATTTTCAGCCAATATCTTCATTCCCAGATTGCAAGAAGTAACTCATTATATCAGCATGCCTCACACTTGGAAAATGAAGTCAGAGACAACAAAAACGGTGACCACAACAGAAGTACCCACCACACCGCCTGGGATGATATCACGGTGGCGACAAATGATGGCTCCAAAGTCTTCATAAGCCACCCGACAATGAAAGAACACAGGTAGCTTTGTCTCATGTACCAGCTCCATTTGCTTTTCAAAATACCTGTTTGGAAATAACATTATAGTACAATAAAAGTGTATATAGTACTAAAAGTAACACTGGCTTTTAAACATTACATAATATACATTGCTATGAATATGATGATGTCAGTAGTAAAATAGTTCATATTACCATGTCAGTGAAACAGTTAAAACATAACGAAACAGGCGATAGCTCAAAATCGGACACAATCTGCAATCTCCAATCAGGCACTAGTCAATTTTTGTGCATGTGGAGTTATTGGTATCATCTTAAAACTTGTTCATTTGTCTTGCCTTTGATGAAAAAATACCTATTTATCTTGAATAGAAGTCAAGATATCTACATTTGAAGGAGGTGGAGGTCACTTGGTTTCAGATGTTACATCGAGAAAATGGCTGCCAAAGTTTGGTTTTTTCCATAGCTTGAGAGCCAGTGGTAATAGAAAACTGACGTTTTTTTGGCCTTTAATGAACGTTTTTCAGTAAAATTCACACAGAAATGTGTTCTTGAATGGACATAACAGATGTTGAGCCAAAACTATATTTAAAAATTCGATTAAAATAGCCAAACTGACGGGAAAATGCCAGCTCATTCAATTTCATTATTTTGACGAGCGCCTGATTTCACACACTGTCTCACATAATATATACATAATATTATGTTTTCCATACACACATGTCCAGTCATTTTAAAAAGTGATATCTTTATATGAATGTAATGAGCATTGAGCATTTTTCAGAAAATGGACATGCGCAGCATAAATACTATTTATTATTATTATTATTATCATTATTATATCAGAGTCTACAAAACAGACGCAAATATATGCTGTTTTCGAGACACTCCGTTTACTCAAAGAATTTTCTCCTGCAGAAGACAAGATCACAGCGGTCATATTTTCTGACTTACACCTCAATTCAAATGGTTAAATTTTGTTACAAGACATGGTGTTTAAGGCAATGGCTAGTTTCAAAGACCAACTGGAAAATAAGGAAGTATATATGTTATAATGTTCTTCAAAAGTACAAAACTCTCACTCTCAGTTGCCAACACACTAAAAATACCAAAGGCCACAAGGTGCTGGGTGCATAACAACAACAATTCAGTTAACATCTTTTACAGATATTATCATAAATAATCAACCCACTTGATTTGAGTTGCCTTGGGACTGAACTGCAGTCTGTCATAATCTGAAATGTTGACAATAAAGAGGATTGACAAGAACCACTTATAGAATTAAGATTAAAAGCAAATTTAAAAAGTCAAAAGAGTCCCCATAACTTTATGTCTGGACTATTATTATTACTATTATCGATGGAATGTAGTGACAGCAGAGCTGATACAGATCAGGGGTACGGGTGGTGGGGATATGACACAATGATGATAGTAGTTTGGGAGACAAAACAGAATAAACCAGAGAAAAAGAAATAGGAACGGTTATTTTTTAAAAATAAATTAGCAAATAAAGGAGTTCTGGTGATTTTGAAGCCTAAAATAGCCATGTTTTGTAAGGGTAAAAAAAGGTTCTTCATTTGAACATATAATGTAGTTATGTTTTGTGAGTGTTTAAATTTCAAAATTCTTGCTATTTCACATTGCTTTGCAATCCTTTCTGTACACGCCAATTTCACAATTTTGAGTGAAAGAGGAGATTTTCTTCTTTAAAAAAAAGATTAATTTTATGCTGTATCTAATTTTAGCTTCTGATTTGAACCTTGTTCAAGTTACTTTAACACTAAGAGAGCTTCAACAACAAAATATCTTTTTGAGACAGTTATGGTGAAGAAACAGGGTGCCAAAATCAGGCTTCACAGTAAAACAATAGGCGTCCCTGTACTATCAAAGCTATATCCAACTGAAAACTGATCTTTAAGATTTTTCATCTTGAGATTATATGTTTTGTTCTCATGAATCAGAGAAGTCATCTTTATGTATGAGTGGCGTCAGTAGTCTACTGGTTAGGCTACCGGACTCGTAATCATGAGTTTGCAGGTTCTGAGGTTCGAGCCTCAGTTCTGACATTTTGTCCTTGGGGATGGCACTTAACATGAATTTTCCTAACCTCACCCAGGTGAAAATGTGTACCCGGCCATAAATAGCAAAAGATCTTCTCAGTATGTTTGTGCTTTAGAGCCCGTTAAAAAAATGGAAGCTTGCACTGTATGGTTCCCAAGAAGTTGAGATTGTTTCAGAATGCTATTAGGTCTGCTGGGATAACAATATAGACTCTCTCTCTCCCTCCCTCCCTCCTTCCCCCCCCCTCCCTCCCTCCCTCTCTCTCTCCCTCCCTCCCCCTCCCTCCCTCCCTCCCTCTCCCTCCCTCCCTCCCTCCCTCCCTCCCTCCCTCCCTCCCTCCCTCCCTCCCTCCCTCCCTCCCTCCCTCCCTCTCTCTCTCTCTCTCTCTCTCTCTCTCTCTCTCTCTCTCTCTCTCTCTCTCTCTCTCTCTCTCTCTCTCTCTCTATTTCTCTCCCTCTCTCTATTGCCTTCAAAATTTAAAGAAAAAAAATGACCACACCCTAAAGAATACCATGGCCCACTTGGCCGATCAGACTCCACAATGTAATGAATAAGCCTGATGAGTCGGCAAAGAAGGACGGACAGCAGGAAAACAGGATTAAAAAACGCCCTACTAAGATGAAAAGGCAATAATAAGATGACTTTAAAGAAACCATGGAAGCCGTCAGCATCCTGACCTTGACCAGCTAGACAACTACAAGCTCAGCAGATGGAGGCAATTCATATGTTTTAGACTCAGGGTAGGTCACGGCAGGATAAATGCACACATGTACAGGCAGCTTACAATTCAATAATCAGAGGCACGCCCATGAAATATTGCACACATGACTACAGAACATTTGCTTGAAAAGGACCTAAAATAAACAGCTCAAGAGTGGTTGCATGACCAGAGCCACTGCTCCTTTGTAAAATTGCTGAAGGATGAGGCAGAGGAAGAATACTATAAATTTCAAAATCAATAAAATTCACAAAGTATACTGACATCAATACTGAACTATAAACGAACTCTTGTGTACCATTAAAGAATGAAACTACAACCAACAGTATGAAAAATAGGTCATAACTAATAGAATATTTACACTCACCTAATCCCATTTCTCCAACAGCAACAACTTTGTCTTTGTTCTTTTTAGCTAAATCAATGAGCTGCCTCAGATAATCATCAGGACTTCGGGCCTTCTGTTCAAATTCTACAGAACGTGTGGGGTGACATCCGACGGTAGAATACAAGCAGTCTACCAAAAAAACAAAAAAAGACTTGAGCAATAAAAATACAATATTGAGAAAGGTCATAGCATACACACTCATAACCAAATACATACACACACACCCACACACTTACACACACAATTACAAACTGCAAGATAAAAATACACAATAACAATAAACACATCTTCAAGAAATGAATATAGTATTTGATAAAATTAACAACAAGGATAACAGGAAAAAACTGTAACAGAATCATCCCACTACCTTCAGTAATGGGTAGGACCTAAATATAAATTCAGAACTTTTCTCCAGAGGACTAACTCACCATCTAATTTTGTCTCTGCCACTGCATGCCGAGACTCAGAAAGAGTGCCACCAGTGATCATTATCTGAGGGAATACATAACATTTAGGTTCAAGCCAAACACAATGCTAGTGGGCATCATTCAATCTTACTGACTAAAGTAGCCAAGAATGGAATAAAGTGCAATATGTACACAAATATCTAATACATTCTTAACTCTTCCTTGTACTTTTGATTTTTTTCTGCTATTTTGATATTCAAGTGCATTAAAAATTTCTCACAAGTGAAGAAATTCACGTGAAAATCTGAAATCAAGGTAACTTTATTCACAGCGTCCAATTTCATTATTTTGACGAGCGCCTGATTTCAACACGGTGCCACACACACACACACACACATATATATGCATGTATGTAGAATCAACGTCTGAAACCTCATAGAGAAGACTGGGTAATCAAATTTTTGCATCAAGGATGCTTGCTGTTTATCTTTTTACCATTAAGGCAAGTTCGAGTGTATTTGTTATTTCAATAAACATAGCCCTCTATCTACTGTCCCTTTCTCTGTTATCATGTTCATCCTTACCTTTTCAACACCATACTCCTTTGCTCTGTTAACAACTTGCAAGAAATCATCTGAAAAAAGGTGAAAATTTTAATTATTGAAATACTGAATACTATTCTGTTGAAACCTGACACCAACATGCATATACTTGTACAAAAAGCAACAACTTATCTTTCAATAAGAAATTACTTTAAGTTTACTAAATCTACTTACCTTCATGGGCCTGCTTCCCACGGTATCTGCCATGATAGACAGGATCTGTTGGAGACAGAAAACAGATATACTCAATAGTCAGAATAACACTGTATCATACTGTAAGAGCACATGTTATTACAAAATGGTCGATCCCAGTAATGAATGATGAACTATCAAAATAAACTTTGTTTTTTTTTGTATGTGTGTACATTTTATGAGTACATGGGTATAAGTATAGTATACATGGGTACACATGAAAAAAGTTAGCCTTACGAAAGACATCATTTTTATATATTTTTTAGAACATGCATGTACGCGTGAGATACTTATAGGTTTTCAGGCAGCAGCTTTCAATGTCTATGCATGTGTATATGAATGGTGGGTGGTGGCAGAAGAGATGAGAGTATAAAATTGAATATCAAAGTACCAGGAGAATTCATATATGCAGTTCAATATACAGTACCCCTTCTAACAGAAAGCTCCCAGAACTGAATAATAAAGCCTTGGGTGACCTCTACATAATCCACGAGGGAACATACATGTGTATGAGCATACTTTAGCGATATGTATCCCCAGGAATACATATATATTATATATACACATTTATATATATAATATACATCATCACCAGCCTTTCTCATCCTGTATCGAAGTACAGTCTATCAAGAGTTCTCTATGCACTTCTGTCTCTATCTCTATATTGTTGTTTCTGAACTCCTTTAGGCTGGAATCTATATAAGTCCCGCCTACCTCTTTTGTAAACGATCCTTACATTCCACATGCCGATTTTTGTTGTACAGGTCAACAGTCAATAAGTCCACCTGGTATCTTCAGAATGGCTTTCACCACAATGCTTCAAATATACTCCTTTCGGGGCATCTGAATCTCCCTAGACTTTTACATTTTTAATCATTCTTGTTGGTATTTCAGGCAGAGATATTCTTTTATAAGACAGGAATGCTACCCCTAAACTCAACCCCCAACCTATAGGATCACGTCGAGAGCCAAACCTTGGAGTCTGTAGTCACCATTTATAATGACACGCACACAAATCATCAACCTTATTCTATTCACTGCCAAGGTCTGTGCGGCTTGCACGTGTTTCTGTACAAACCTGACAAAAATTGACATCAGTTTACAATGAAATAGCAAGGACAGAGCAAAATTTTCCCATGGGTCAATAGTACACAACTCAAAAATAAACAAAATTCATACCTGCAATGTTAGCTCCAATGTCTGAAAAAAATAAGTATAAAGATAATTGTAAAATACAAGGAGTACAAAAACAAAATAATACATTCATTTATCAATTTAAAAAATTCAAGTAAATTAATCTAAGGCAATTGATGGAAAAGACACCAGAAGAGTTTACTACTCTGGTGATAAAATATATATAAAAAATTTGGGGGATCAATTTTGACGTGAAATTGGTTGGAAGAATCCATTTAAATGCAAATAGCACATTGGAACAAAATATTCTTACCCAAGAAAGTTGAAATTTTATATAGGCCCCTAACAAGAGCTCTTTAAGTCAAAATCTAAGTCCCTCTGAAAACTTTTGAGCCTTCCTCTCTTTCTCTTTCCTTGTGCTTTCCATTTTAAGGCTTGATAGGTAATATTCGTTTTCGGATTTCTTAAGGTGTGTCCAATCCACTTGCATTAATTAACTCTTTCTGATTTCCGTATCTAATTTATGTTCATATGTTTCCTCCCATAGTTTTTTTTATGGTCTGTGAACTTAAATATTTTAAAAGTAGCTATTGGTAGTTGACAACTGCTAGTAGCTTTTTAGAAGTTTGGTTTGTCGGTTTCACGTTCTCGATCCACAGGGTGCAGTCAAACCTCGCTATACTGCCTACCTTGGGACAAGCATAAATCTGGCGGCAGAACGGGGCTGACAGTATAACAGGATGGCAACGATTGTCATCCCTCACAATATAAAAGACTCACAGGCAGATGTCTGTTGATGCTAGATATTTTGCCAGCAGGCCGAGGTGGCCCTGTCGCTTTGAAGTTTCTCCATGCAACTTAAAATTCCCTTCTAATTTTTATCTAAATATTGGCCAAAGCCAAAAATTAACAGCATTTTTATAATCAGCGCAAATCAGGTGAAAATCGACGACAATTATTAAGCACTAGAAACTGGCCAAATTTGCAGAAAAGATATCATCAAGCAGCCACCAAGTGGGTGCCATGCAACGTGTGTAGTGTGCACCTCTGGAGGCTAATTCTCTGGCAGTATATCAGGGCAAATCTACATTAGTTTAATAAGGACATTACAACTCGCAGACTGTTGGTGGATGGTGGTGTTAAGGCGTAAATATTATGTTTATATTACAGGCATTCCTTTTCGCACATCTGCAAAACCTGGCAGTAAGTGGGCCTGGCCTGCTGGTACAACTAGGTTTGATTGTAATACACTTTTGACACTGGTGTTAAAAGTCCTTGTCTTGATCTTGTTCCTATAATAACCTGATTTCCATATAATTTTTCTTAGTTGTGTGAAAGCACCTTTTGTCTCACCTATTCTTCTCTTTACATTTATGTTTGCTACTGCTACTCCAACTTTGTCAATAATGCTTTGTGTATGTGGAGGAATCAACTTCCTCTGGTGATATTTCGCTGACGGTAATCTGATCATAATTGTTATTGATGGTGGTATTAATTGATCCTAAAGTACCTTGGTCTTGTTTGGATGTACTTTAAGGCCTGTCATCTGTGAGACATATATTTAAAAGGTTTCTCACTGGTATCTGTGATGTAGCAATTGTGCTTCGCTGTCACACACAGAAAATGTGAATTCAATTCCCTTGAGGAGACAATTTTTATCCTGCGGATGTTGTATCTATCTTAGCTCTAAAAGGCAGGGTTGAAGCCCACCTCCTATATGATCTAAACTGCATCGATGCAGACATTATGAACACACCTACATCTAATCTGATCTTACTTCCTTCATCATATTCTGTTGGTGACTGTTTGAAAATAAAATAAGATCATTGCAAAGTCCAGATCTTTTAGTAAGGCCCTCAATGTCCATTGGATTCCACTTTCTGCGTCCTGTGGTTGTCTTCATGATCCAATTGTTAGTACAAGCAAAATAAGAAAGGTGACAGGGAAATCCTTGCTGCACTCTCCTGTATCTAGAAACAGTTGGTAAACTGGCCTTCATGGACGACTCTGCAACTTCTATCTTGCACCATTCCTTAGAGTTACTAATTTTTCCAGGATGATATTATAATGAACTTCCAATTATTTAGGCCTTGAATATATAATATTTTTTTACCTAACTGCTCCGACCCAACTCTAACCTTCTTCATAACTTTCCCAACTTAAGTGACAGCTACTCTCTTTTTACTAGAAGTAGAAGGATCATTCTAAAATCCTCATGATAGAATTGTTTCTGCACAGAATTTGGAGAATTTTTATTTTTTTATTTCGTAATAGCTGAAACTGTCTATTTCATCTTTGTTTCAACTTTGATACAAATTATATATTCCTGAAAAATAAAGGCCGATATGGCAGCACCTCAGTCAGCATTACAGAGATGTTTTGAATTTGAAATCAGCCAAACTGTCAATTACTGCTTTTCAGCAGGAGCGGAGTCTAAAAAACCTTTCTCTGCAAAATTAGACTAATTGGATCATTGGTTTTGGAGATGAGAAGGTGAAAAAGGGGGAATGTCCACACAATCGACCCTATACTACATTCTTTAAGACTAAGGTGCACATTTTTTTAAACTCTAATTGGGGGAGAGGGGAGAGGGGGGGGGGGGGGGGGCAAAGAGCACACACCATCATTCACTCATCCCCCACTGTTTCCACCTCTAGACTCAAAACAACCTTTTATACCTCCTGAATCTGTCAAAAATTCTGTAGTGATCAAAACAATCAAAGGTAATCCAACTGATCGGACTCACTTGGAATCTTGTGGCGAGAAAGGTGCAGAATCAAAATTGCATTTAAGTATGAAAACAACCCAGCTTGGGCCATGGGTTTTTTTTATTGTGTTGGAATCTCTTACAATGGGGGGAAACATACAAACATGGCTACAATTTTTAAAAATGTATCACAACATTATATCATCCTGTAAAATATAAACTGAATTAAATAGAGTGAATCATATAGGCCCTATATCGTAGAATTTCTCTTGTGAAAAATCAGTTCTTAAGTAATGCAGTCAACATTTCAGAAAGGTGTTTAATTCACTGTTTTTAGCTAAAGTGTTTAATTCACTGTTTTTAGCTATCTACACCGTGCTGACGTAACTTTTGAATTCTTACTCTTTCATGAAATACTAAATTGCTAACAATTAAATAATAACTTAAAAATCAAACTTTAATGTGCAATATAGATCTATCAAGTCTCACCTATGAATCGCAAAGTGCCCCTTGATGCCATCTTCCCTGTTGTGAATACAGTCAAACCTGCTCTAAAGAGTTAATACCACAGTACAAGAGTACACAGTTTCAAACGACCTCTTCCCGCTTTAGTTTTTTTTTTTCTCACAATAACTGCAACCGTGTCCAAGAAAACCACCTGTCTTAGTGACCACTTTTATCCTCTACGATGAGACAAGTTCGACGGTATAATGCATAAATACATTGCTGACACAAGCTTGTGCAATACTTCATGGAACCGCAGTCTTCCACGAAAATTGGCTCATCAGAGCAAGTCATGAGTCATAGTGTCATGAACTATGAACTTTCTGTACGCCAGTGTTTGCTTGACTTTCATTTTCGTTTTCATTGGATTTTTTTTAAAGCAGGTCTAAAGAACTGATGTCAACATCTAGATTCTAGATCTAGATCTAGATCTAGATCTAGATCTAGATCTAAGAAAAATTCTCATCAGACGTTTATAAATCACCGCTCAGTCATCACTACCACGTCCTACTGACGTGTCGTGTCTTACTCTTGGCTGGTAAGTGCTAAGAATATCTACTGTACAAAGTCTCACCAATGAATCGATAAGGGCTACACGATGCCATCTTCCCTGGTGTTATTATACGCTGCCACAAGTTTGTGCAATACTTCATAGAAACCCAGTATTCCACGAAAATATGAAAGCGTTGTCCTACTTTCTGTATCAGTTTCTGCTATGCTGGCCTGGCTGACTTTCGCTTTCGTTTTCTTCACTACCGGCAAATATTGGATATAAAACACAAAATAGACTAGCTATAAGAACGAAACAAAAAGTAGATCTAAGCCTGCATACTACATTATTAACCACTGAACACTGGACGTACATGTTCTCCAAAATTTAATAAATTTGAATTAGAAAAGGCAGTCATATGACAG